CCAGTGAGCTTTATTTTCCCATGATTTGCTATAGGCAAGGGAGACTCTTAGGGAAGAATTGTCTTGGACAAGGCTTTCCTTAACTAGTGCTTTGTAGGTCTTCTGTGCAACACTTTTCTTCCAAAGCTCTATTAGTTTTAAGTCACCACCACATTCAAAGAACATTTGTCCAGAGGCTGAGGTTGTGGATCAGTGGTAGAGCTCTTGCCCCCGGCATGAGCTGAGAACCTGTGTTTGTTGCCTAGTAACAGGGGGAAAAAAAAAGAAAAAATTGGTCATTATCTTTGATTGTTAGTCCAACTTCTGGATAAAAGATTACATTCTGGGTAGCAAGTGAGAATAGATATTAGAGAACCAGATCATTTGTGGAAAGCTCAATGACCAAGTCACAGCATTTGAGAAGTCTTTTTCCTCCTTCTGTTGAATATAAATATTTTCTGTGGCAATATCTTGAGGTTCTAAAGCAAACTTATATACTCTGCACGTAAGAATATAATTTGGGGGGTAAGTAATGTGGCTTGTTTAAAACATTTTGGTCTTGGGGAATGTTTCCTTTAAAGAAAAGAAATATGCCAGAAAAGCACTAGTTAGTACTTTAGGGGCATAATTTAGGTGTAGCCTCTTAATGTTTCAGTTACTAGTAACACTTATCTGGGAATGAATTTTAGCAGTCTTCCAAGGGATGATTTATCTTGAGGATGGCTTTTGTGCCAACCAAATGAATGTGTGAACACCAGCTTCACAAGGTTCACTGGACAACTCAGAATACCAATGTGTTAATTTATTGTGGAGATGGATTTATATAGAAGCAAAATTTGTCACTAGTTCAAAAGTAACCCTTTTATACTAGCAAAATGCCACATTTATTCACAGAATAGTCTCTCAGAAGCTTATAATTAGAGCAGAGAGAAATAGATGGTTTTTAGGCTATGGAAATATCAGATGAACTATTATTCTGTTTTGCAAAGGAATCATCCTACCCATATAGTAAAGTTCTGCTATCTCCTGTTTGTTTGTACTATCAATTCATGATCTACAGTTGTGTTGTTGTTGTCATATTTAGAAAAAAAATATTTTTTTATGGTTCCGGGGCCTCTTACATGCTATGCAAGTATTCTACCACTGAGCTATAATATCCTCTAGCTCTCATTTCTATATTTTAATGCTTCCTGTAGGCTTTAACTTTTTATTCCACTAGCACTTCAGGCAGTCATGTTATAGTAAGGTTGATTATGTTATACATTTTATATTCTAATTGTGAGAATATGCTTTCCTTAACTTAAATGAACTTGGATGTTTCTCAAGACCCCATATACTTCATATAATATCTCATTCAGTGACTGCCCTGTTGCAGACAGATGGATATTAATCCATTTAAGTGGTTCTTAAAATTGAGCATTAAGAATCTTTGAGGAAATTTGTGAAAATGCAGATTTTCAAGTCTCACATCCACAGATTCAGTTTAGTAGACTTGGGGGTTGGGCTCTGAAACCTATATTCTTTTTTCCTATTCACAGAGAAACATCATTTATATGTTAATTATTATCAGTTTCATTTGCAAGGCAACTTTATTGCTAAGGTTTGTAGTACTCTAAATACTAAAAATAAGACTGAGGTTTATAAAATCTTGGGAAGTGTCTTAACTACCCATAACCAATTTTAAAACTGTCTACAGTTTTACAACTCTTGCTTTTACTTTCTTTGCCAAAATACTCTGGGGAAGCTGTGGTTTGTTGGTCATGAGAAAGGTTTTCTTTGTTCAAGAATGTCTTGAACATCTGCTGCTGTTCCTTCACTATTCTCGTTCAAGACTTCCTCATTTCTCATGGATGGTCAGTCACAGATTTCTGCAGAATCCATCCCTCTGCCCCCCGCCCCCCGCTTCCCTGTGTTGGAGAGGGGTTCCAAATTACCAATGGAGGTGACAGAATCTTAACCTGTCAGAGGTATCTTAGAGAAATCATTTTGGCAGGACAGAAGATGGACTCAGTGGGAATATCATAGTTCCCAGGGAGTGAGTGTTAATCAAAGCTGATATTTCAGCTAGAAATATTGAATTTGAAAGCAGGAAAATTGCCTATTGCTTTTGTAATACAAAGTATAGAGCATAATGCTTGAACAAGTAAAAGTGATAGGAAAGGTCTGTTTTCTAGGACATGGTCACATCTCTTTCATTCTCACGCCCCTCTATTATTTTGAGCATATACTTGTTGTGGTGTGTTTTTACACAGTGTTGTCCTTCCTTGATTGCCACCTTCTTCTAAATTGGTCCCTATCTTAATGGAGCTTATAGTTTAATGGGGTTGGGAAAAGAGATACTCAGTAAAAATCGAACAATATAGAATGGCATTTGGGGAAGTATTAGGAAGCCGTATTATAGGATGCTACACATGGATAGAAGACAGTATCTAATCTAATCTAAAGACTCTGAAAAGTTCCACCTGAGAAACTGACTTTTCAGCGGAGACCTGAAGAATTAGTGGGAATTAACTAGGAAGCTGGGTATTTGAGAAAGGAGGTTTTGTTTAGAGGCTAGAGAGAACACCTTGTCCTTAGCACCTGTGGTAAGGAAGAACAGTCAGGAAATACAAAGGAGGTCTGTGTGACTGGAGGCTAGTGAGCGAGAGGGAGAGGCATCAACTGTGGTGCAAAAGAGGTAAGCAGAGACCTTGCCCTTCACGGTGAAGTTTTTGTCCTTTATCCAAAAAGCAGTGAGGAGTCATTTGACAGCTTTTGAAGATGTGAGTATGGAGTGTAATTACATGATCAGATTAATGTTTGAAAATGGTGACTTTGGCTGTTTTGTGGAGAAAACATTGTGGGGTACAAGGGAGAAATTAATGGAATGACAAGGCTGTGTGTGTATGCACCTTAGACTGGGAGTCCAGGACAGCAATGATGTTGATCTGCCATTAGTACTGGGGATGGAAAGGGCCTAAAGGAAGATTTCTTTTGGAGCTTTATTGAAAAATGGGTTTGACATTTTTAACATTTGGAATATGAGAGGGGCCAGAAGGTGGGGGAGAGAGAGGGAGAGGTGTGTCAAGAATGATTCCTAGACTTCTCTTTTGAGTCAGGTTTGGGTAATAGTTTTATTGAAGTTTTAGGGGATGCTCAAGAGGAGTAAGTTTGGAGGGAAAGATTGAGACCTCTTTTAAAGGTCCTTTCTCTATGGATTATTTTTCTTTACCTCAGAATTTCCTACCCCCATAAGATTCTGCTCAGAATTGCCCTCCTGTGAAATCACTCTGCTGGTCTTCCCCCCTCATCTTCAGGAGAGCAGTAAATTGTGCTCTAGTATTACGTGACCTCTCTTCATATTTCTCTCTATTTTATAATTATTCTGTACTTGACTATTTCCCTCAGCAGACTGTTACTCCTTTGGCAGGGAAGTATCTCGTTTGGGGCTCTTGGAACATGGATCAATATTTCCTTAAGTGTTTTCCATTGAGTTTTGTATTTATGGACTTCCTTTATCTTAAATCCGTGTAATGCTGGAGAAGCTTAATATTTCTTTACTGCAGAACTGTTCAAAGCCTTTTATTTTCTAATGTGAGTTGGAAACTCTGGGAAGGGAATAAAGTATGCAGTATTTTCCTAAATTATTTAGTATCTCCTCCTGACCCAGTTTGGTCTTATGATCATCTCATGTCACTAGTGTGGAGAGTAAAAGGTGGGAATACAAACATTCTGTAGGAAATGCTGACCTGGACATGAATTTGATACTAAGTCTGTCTCTTTGTAGCTAAACTGGGAAGAGCTGAACAAAAAATTCTATAGATACCCCCACATTTGGCCCTTTTATTTATTAACTCATAATATGAAAACAGTGCCTTTCTTGCACCACTTGGGTTGTTCATAAAGTAAACACAGTTATATTAGCAACTCTTTTTTTTGTAAAAGAAATGTTTAGTATTTTTCTCAGGTTGTTAATATTCTGTTTCATAGCGAGTTGTCTGTTGTGGTACAAAACTTAGGTTTCAGGGAGATATAGACAGGATAGACTAAATGTGGAAGAGATTTTTTTTCTTGTTCTTTGAAAAATATGAATTTATTTTAGAAGGACATTTTTCTTTTCTTTTTTTCAAAGGTTAGAGTTCTCAAGATAGTTCATTCCATTTGAACCTAATGAAAAGTTTCACCAGGAACTGACAGATTCAAACAGGAAATGTATTTGTTTTTAAACTTAGATTTTATTTTGTAATGCCAAGTGGCATTATTATGTTATACTTATTAACAGAACCTAACTTCTGATATATTCCTTATAGTCACATGGAGTGGGTAGATGCCTTGGCTCTACAAAATTTACTTGACTATGGAGTTAATAGTGAAAATAATTCTGTAGTCTATTTATTTTGAGTGATATAAAATACAGCTTAGATTAATAGGGTTAAGATATCCTTACCATATTTATATCTTTATTCCCACATCTTAATTTATATGTGTTCATTTAATTGCTTTGCCCTATATTATTGCACAAGTTTGTTTTCAAATTGAAATAGCTTGGGATGACAGGGAAACCTTGATCTTTAGTTCTGCTATTAGATGAGAAGTTATTAGCCTCCATCATCAGTTTAATATTCCCTTAGCTATCAAGGCCACTCTTTATAACCTCTGAGGTCACTACCAAAAATAGATAAAAATCTGTGAACAAATATTATATTTTCTTTTTATTTTAACAAGTAACTGCATAAAAGAAAAATAACTGCCAAATATATTCTTAGCAGCTGTGATGGTGACCATAGGAGTAAAGTGTAATGATTTTTTAGCAAGGAAAACAGCTGCAATTTTGATGCTTCTTCCTTAGTATCAATCTAGTATTCTCCATGCTTTATATCCTTACACAAAAATAATGATTTAAACTTTTCTACATGGGTACTCTTCAGTTGTATATTCTATTGGAAAAGCAAACAGCTCAGGACACACTTGCACTTTGGGCTTCTAATAAAGCATTGTGTAGAAAATCATTCTAATTATAGAAACTCCTACATTGATTTCAGGTCGATCTTCTCTCTTTCCCTTTGAAGACGCCTTTTTGGATGACAGCCATGGTGATCAGGCCTTGTCATCTGGCTTAAGTTCTCCTACTCGATGTCAAAATGGGGAACGAGTGGAACGCTACTCCAGAAAGGTGTTTGTTGGAGGCCTTCCCCCTGATATTGATGAAGGTACGTTGTATACAGACTTTATAAAGGCTGAGTTATGTCATCTGACCCTGACTCTTTTCTTCAGGTCAGTTTTTGGTCATTTGTATCTTAAATGTGTTGGAGGTGAGAATGTTTGATAAATGAGGAAGTAATAGATTACATACTTCAGGGTCTGTTGTTCATATGTGGCAATGCAGCCATCCCCCAACAGCTTCCACTTCCTACTTAATAATTTGGGCTATATATTAAAATAATAATGAGAATCAGTACTTATGACAGTCCTACTTTAAGTCCATCATTGTGCTGAGTATTTCATAAGTAAATATATCTTATGTCCATTTTATAGATGAGAAAACTGAGAATCCAAGAGAAATAATTTGTCCAGGATTATGTAGGTGTAGTTAAAAGGGTGTGGTTAAAACTTAAAATAAGTCTGAGTAAGGAGCTTTTGTTCATGTCCATCATACCATCATATTTATTTATTTATTTTTATATATATATATATATACATATATATATATATATATATATATATATGAAAAGCATGTTTCCCTTTACCTTTTATAAGAGTGAAGACAGATTAGCATTTTTCTTAATAATAGTTTTGAGATACTACCAGCTCAAAAGAAAAATAATTTTTCATTTATGCCTAAACCAGTGAAAATATTTATTTTATCACATAATATGTTGTAAATAAATGTTTGTTAAATGTACAAATGAAATGAAATTATGACATAGCTAACTTAAAGGAGAAAAACAACTCTAGTTCTAATAGGCTTCAGCTCTGTTATAAAAGAGTTATTACAACAGATTTGTTTTGCAAGCATTATTCTAGCTATGATTCTTCTGTAATTTATCATGATTTCCTTTTTTTCATAATTAGAGAAAAATCTCTAAAAATAGTTTTATTTTAGACTTACTGCATTAAAGTTGTACAGATCTAGAGACTCATTTTCCTCCAAAATGTTTTCACATCTGTGTTAATAGCGTCTGTCAATTAAATTTCCTTTAAGATAAATTTTTATCATGACTAAGAAATTGGCAACCTAAACCTTAGGAGGAACCAGGTTACAACCTTCTGCTCTGAGTCAGATATCTGAAGAAGAAGATAAACTTGAGCTTGAACATACTTTATAAACAACCAGAGATATGAAAAATTGTGCTCTATATGTGTAAAAACAAATGCAATTCATTCTGCTGTCATTTATTTTTAAAAATCAATTAAAAATTTTTTAAAAAATAAAATAAAATATATAGTATGCAGGTATTAGAGAAAAAAAAGAAATGTTAAATGGCTTTTAACATTTTCTTATTACCAAATAGTTACCTACTTATTGCCCCGATCTTCATCAAAAGATTCATATTTATTTCTAATATAATACTAGAGAATCCATACAAATGAAAGTATATATTAAATATTTTCTGTACCTTTGCCTTTTTTCGAAAAACAAAAAACATTCCTATTTTTAGATTCTTCTTTTTACTTGACAGAGGAGTTACCTTAGCTAATACTGGATTTTTTCCTTTTGAGTTCTTTATATCAAATTTATTGGCAGTAGAAGGTAGTGAATTATGGTTAGAAACACACTTTACATGGTAAAAAGTGAATAACCAAATATTTACTCAAGCAGTGGTATTTCACTTAGTAGGTTTGACTTCTTTAAAAATGCTTTAGAAAGTAACTCTCAAAACTTTTTTTTTTTTTTTTAATAAAAAGACGTGTTTTGGGCTACTCTGATTGTAATTCTTCTTTTTTTTTTTCTTTCTCTTTTGCTAACATTCCTTCTTTATTTTGTAGATGAGATCACTGCCAGTTTTCGCAGGTTTGGACCTCTCGTGGTAGACTGGCCTCACAAAGCAGAAAGCAAGTCATATTTTCCTCCTAAAGGTAATGCACTTAAATGTCCCCACTGTCAACCTCTTACAGAGGGAGTCTGATAGTTTAGGGTAAGGCAGCCTTTTAACTCTTGAAATAGCCTTTTTTTTTTTTTTCCTAATTAGGAAAAATTACATCGATTATCTTTTTGTGTCTCCCACTTGAAAACTCTTCCCCCAGGAGTACACTGATTGTTTCATGGCCCTATTTTATTGAAAGTGAGATTCTGTGAATCTGTTGTGAATGAGCTTTCTGCTAACTTTTCATTATTTTGATAGTAAAGATTTAGGATTTTGAGTAATATCAGCAATGGTAGAGGAAAAGATTGTTAAGATCAAATTTTTTTGTGTCTCACAGTCCTATGGTTTTATAAATCTTACAGACTCCAAACTTGAAAACCTAGTGGCTGAAGAATGGCATTGAATGAAATTATCTTCATTCATGTCTCTATCTTAAGTGACTTATCCTGTTCTATGGGTGGAAGATGAACTAGCAAAAGATTCTTCACATGATCTTTCTTCCCTTGTTTGGGGTAGGCTCTTTTGATAATTGATGAGGGGTGAAAATACATTGCTTTGTCTGTTCATGGTTTATAATTTCTGTAGAAATTAGGGAACTTTTTTGGTGATAGTCACTCTGAGCATGCTCTTACATTTATAAAGAAGAGTATTTGGAGTTAAAGAGAAAGTTTTCTTCTGGGTGGTGTTCTGTAGATCTGTTTGAGTGATACCTTTCATTTCTAAAATGTGGCTTTTTGTTTGTATTATCATATAACATTACTCACCACAAGAAGGTGGCATCAAAATACTATCCTTCCTATACCTTGTATAGGAATCAAATTAGAGCTTAACTGAATAAAGGCAACAGATTACACATTTGAGCCTGGGCTACTTAGTGATACTCGGTTTCAAATAAAGTGAAAAATAAAAGGGCTGGGAATGTAGCTTATGATAGACAGCTTGCCTAACATGTATGAGGTCCTGGAGTAGATCCCCAATCCCACAAAAAAAATAAAAATAAAAAATGAAGATAATCTGTTTTATGTCCTAATGGTAAACCCAAGTTTCTTTGGAACAGCTTGATCCAATGTAATAGCCGCACATAGCTAATGAGCACTTGAAATGTGCCTGTTTGAATTGAGATATGGTATAAGTCATAAAATGTACAATGTAGGGCTGGGTTTGTGGCTCAGAGGTAGAGTGTTCGCCTAGCATCGTGAAGCACTGGGCTGAATCCTCAGCACTACATAAAAATAAAATAAAGATGTTGTGTCCACCTATAACTAAAAAATAAATGTTTAAAAATACATATATATACACAACAGACTTCAAACATTTTGTTTTTTAAAATGTAAAAGATCTCATTACTAATTTTGTTTATGTGTTAACATAATTTTTGATATATTGGATTAAAACATTAAAATTAGCTTTGCCCATTTCTTTTTATCTCTAAGTATATATTCTGGAAAATTTAAAATTACATATGTGATTCATATTTCTTTTAGACAGCTTCCTCTAGAACAAGGATAAATAACTACCTGTTTTGTATGGCCTGTGAACTAAGGATTAATTAATTAATTAATTCATTCATTCATTTATTTGGTAATATTAGGGATTGAACCTAGGGCATTATGAACTAAGCCACATCCCTAGACCTTTTTATTTTGATTTGAGATGGAGTCTCACTATATATCCCAGGCTGGCCTCAAACTCAAATTAGAGTTTAACTGAAGAAAGGCAACAGATCACACATTTGAGCCTCCCCAGTTGGTAGTATTATAAGCCTTGTGTCACTGCACCCCACTTGGTTTTTACATTCTTTAAAGGATTACACATGGTCCTTAGATCTCCTTACAGAAAAAAGTTTGTTGATTCCCTCTCTAAAATGGCCCATGGAATTGCTAAGTTAGCTTCTGAGACATTCAGTGACAAAGGAGGCAATTTATTTCAGAGGAAGTCAATACATCTGTAGACCTAATTAAATGTTTTTCATCTATTGTGTCACATGCTTGCCTGCAATCTTTACCCATCGGTTGGTGCAGTTTTATGAAGAGGAACAGACCAAGTCATCATTGTGACATTTGTCTCTGGGTATTTAAAAGACGATCAGATACTCTTTTCCAAACTAAATATGTTTGCCTCTCTCACTCATACCTTATATCTAATGGCTTCTGGATCACCATTCTTACCTACCTTCTCTGTTTATATGTCAAATTCACAACATCTTAAATTTGTCATAGAGCATTGAAAAGAGAATGTTAGAGTTGTTCTGAGTGATGCAGAATTTAGCAGCTCTACAACTTCCATAGTTTTTTTTTTTTTTTTTTGTGGTTCTGGGGATTGAACCCAGGGCCTTGTGCATGCAAGGCAAGCACTCTACCAACTGAGCTATATCCAAGCCCACAATCTCCATAGTTTTTGATACCACTCCTGTATCATGGTATAATAGTATAGAACTATAGTACTTTAGTGCTGGTGTGCTCATTTTATAGCTGAGATTGTGCTGAGATGGACAGTTGAAAGCCAGACCAAGAAGAGAATATAATTTCCTGATCCTCTAAGACCAGATTGCCTTTCTGGTGATTGAGGTCAGGGAAGAGAATTAATTACTAGACTATTGGCTCCTATTGTGTTTTACTCTCAGCTAATGTCTGAAAGTTGACCTATTTGGGGAGAACCTAAAGATATTTGGTATTATTCCAAGACTGAAGTAACTTTGGCAGTTCTTTCCCATGGTTTATAATGTTGTGAACATGTAAGTTGTTCACTTTAAACTGTTAAGTGCCTTCCTACTGATGCCTCCTCTTGCTCATTGTATTTTTCTTTAGGTTACAAAGACCTAGGTTGGCCATAAAGTACAGTTTGGTTGTGTGTTTTAGGTGTATGTGTAAGTAGAGAAGAAAACATGAGCCATCCACTATTGACCCCTTTGGGCTTTTTCTCAGAAAGCATATGTCTAATGAAAAAGACAAGAACATACATTCATCCAGCAGGTTTACTTATATCAGTTTGAAGTAGGGTTTGCAATACCATGACCATTTTTCAGTGGATTATGAGATGGTTAAAATCCATGTGGCAAAACAGGGGTCAGTTGCATCAACTCTTCCCTTAAATGTTGTTGAGCTAACAGAGTAGGACATGGAACAGACTGGTGCTCCATGCAGCACAGTGGGCAGAGGTATTTGAGGATACGCAGAGCCCTCTGAATTCAGTTTGCCTGTAGATAACAGGCAAATGCTTGGTACCTCCCCAGAGCACCACTGAGAAGATGGAAAGTGTAGAAGTCAGCATGTTTGTCTTTATGATATGGTCCCAGACCTTACAAATTTATATTCCTGGTGGAGGTAAGCAGTTAATGAAATAGTCACAAAAATGAACATGATTTCAGGCTGTGGCAAGTTCCTTAAAGGGAAAATAAAAAGCACAGTAAGGAGTCAAAAGAGAGGGGATACCATGTAGATTGGGAATATGGAGAGTAGCTTCTCAAGAAAATGGCATTTAAGCGGACCTGAAATTGAGGGGTTAGTTATAAAGTACAGGGAAACACATTCCCAGCAGAAACTATTATATGGGAAAGACTGAGTCTGAAAAAGGCCTTAGTCCCGTAAAGAGAGAAGTGTGGGTGGAATGTTGTGAGGTAGGAGAACATGATACAAAAGGAGGGCCTTGAAGAGGTAAGATTTATTTGTTGGAGTTTCCCCTAAATTGATCTAGTCTGCCAGAGAGTAAATATGAAGGTATTCATGTGGCATTTATTTTAGGAGTAAAGAAAATAGAGTCAAGTCAAATAGAAATATCAGTTTAAAATACTTTTAAAGAACTAGTTGTAAAATTGAAACAAAATGTTTTCTGTATTTAGTTCTGAATGATGAGAAGAAATCTAACTATCGTCATAACAGTAAGGAAAAGTTTCCTGAGATGATGTTCACATAGTTTCTTGTAGTTATGGAATACGAGAGTTGAAATTATGAGTCCTAGAAGGAGAGGTTCTCCTGAAGGTTAGGGCATGAACCAAATCCCACCCTGTACTTGATTCTTACAGCATAATCATTGATGTCATTATATTTATAATAGCTTCGGGATGAAGAGTTTGAAGGTAGTTATTGAAAAGGGCTGGTGGGAGAACAAAATAAGTGTAAACAGAGGGCTAGGGTCCTGGTAAAAATGATCATGCGATGTTGGGAATATCAGTTAAATATTTGTTGTGCATCAGTCTATGTTTGGTCTTGTAAGGAATCTAGAGAAGATACTACTCTTTTTTTTTTTTTTTTTGGTACTGGGGATTGAACCCAGGGGAGTTCTGCCACTGAGCTACATCCCCAGTCCTTTTTAACTTTTATTCTTATTTTATGTTTTAAATTTTTTTTGGTACTGGGGATTGAACCCAGGGTTACTTAACCACTGAGCCACATCCCTAGCCCTTTTTATATTTTATTTAGAAACAGTGTCTTGCTGAGTTGCTTAGGGCCTAAGTTGCTGAAATTGACTTTGAACTCATGATCCTCCTGCCTCAGCCTTCCAAGACACTGGGATTATAGGTGTGTGCCACCACACCTGACCCTTATTTTTTATTTTTGAGACAGGATCTTGCTAAGTTACTTACGGCCTCACTAAATTTCTAAGTTAAACCTTGAATTGGCAATCCCCACCTCAGCTTCCATATGCTGGGGATTATAGGCATATGCCACAAATCTGATTAAAAGAATCTATTCTTTTTTTTGTGTGTGTGGGATAACTGGGATTTGAACTCAGGGACACTTTACCATTGAGCTATACCCCAAGCTTTTTTTATTTTTTACTTTTGAGACAGGACCTAAGTTGCTTAGGGCTTCTCTAAATTGCCAAGGCTGGCCTTCAACTTGTGACCCTTCTGCCTCCGCCTCCTGATTTGCTGGGATTACAGGAATGTACCACCACACCCAGCTAAGATACTATTCTTGATTTGAAAAGGCTACAGTTTCCTAAAGGAATCTTAAAAATACAAATGTGAAACATTAAATAATGGTAAAGAAC